TATTGATCTCACAATCGATTTCACAATCGTTTTCATTATCGATCTCACAGCCGTTGTTTCTATAGATCGCGCGAACGACCTCACGATCGATTTCACGATCGATCTCATTGAACGACTTTACGATTGGTCTCACGATCGACCTTACTATAATCTACGCTATCGACCCCACTATCGACCTCGCTGTCGATTTCACAATCGATTTCCACCTCCTGACCTTCATGCGTCTGAGGAAACTCTCGACCGATACTTTTACACACTCCGCAGAGCCATGCAAGCTCTGGTAGACCTCTCTAGAGCGCCCTTCTAGGCCCGCCTGTTGGGAGCTCAGGACTCGCCTCAAGGTACGAGTGACATACATACATACATACATACATACATACATACATACATACATACATACATACATACATACATACATACATATAAACATGAGCACGACGGCTCTGGAATCCCCGAAAGAACACCCAATATCTACCCAAGAGGCCTCCAAGAGTCCCCCCAAAACTCCATGGAAGTTTTCCAGAGGCCACAATCATCGAAACACACAGGATCTATGCATGCATGCATGCATGCATGCATGCATGCATGCATGCATTCATATATGTATGTATGTATGTATGTATGTATGTATGTATGTATGCATGCATGCATGCATGCATGCATGCATGCATGCATGCATGCATGCATGCATGTATGTATGTATGTATGTATGTATGTATGTATGTATGTATGTATGTGTATATCTGCAGGCGGAAGGGGATCGGGGCCGCCAGGCCGCCAGGCCGGTACCTGCGCCCCCCATGGCCGCTCCGGGGCTCCGGGAGCGTTCCTGTCCGGGCCAAGAGGCGGCCAAGACGTGCCCAGGGAGGCGCAAGTGGCTCCCAAACCGGTCCTAGACGGCCCCGGGGCGCTCAAAGATCGCCCCTGCACGCTCAAGATGGCTCATTGATCCCAAGAAGCCGCTACAACGCCCCAAGTTGCTTTCCAAAAGAGCCCCAAGCGGCCATCATCATTGTTTCTGCCGGGAAAACGTGCATTTTTAGCATCTACGTCTTTTCGGTCTTCACGGCGCGCACGAGGGTACAAGAGGCCCCCACGTCGGCCCCAAGACGGCTCAAGAGGCTCCCAACACGGCCCAAGAGGAGCCCAAGACAGCCCATCGGCCCTGGACACCCAAGATGGCTCCCATAGAGCCCCAGAGGCCACTACGGCGCCCCAGGAAGCTTTCCAAGGGAGCCCCAAGCAGACAACATCATTGATTTTGCATCGGACAACGTACATGTTGAGCATCTTCGACTTTTCGGTCTTCACGGCGCGCACGACGGTACAAGAGACCCCAAAGACGGCCCCGAGAGGCTACCAACACGGCCCCAGACAACCCGAGGGGCGGCCAAGGCGTGCCCAGAGGGCCCCATGAGGCTCCCATAACGTTCCATGGCGGCCCCAGAGCGCTCAAAGCTAGCCCTTGGACGCCCAAGACGGTTCTCACAGTGCCCAGGAGACCGCGAAGACGCCCCAAGAGGCCCCCAACCCAAGAGGGCCCCGAGAGGCCACAATCATTGATTTTGCATTGGAAGACGTATATTTTTAGCATATACGACTTGTCGGTCTTCACAGCGGTGACGACGGTACAAGAGGCCCCCAAGAGAGCCGCAAAACGGCCCAAGAAATCCCAAAGACGCCCCGAGAGGGGGCCAAGACACCCCAAGAGGTCCCCAATACGACTTAGGAAAACTCCAAGACGGCTCCAAGAGGAGCCCAAGAGGGGGAGCCCGAACCGAAAATCCAACCCTTCCGCCCCAAGAAGGTCCCAGGAGGCCCTTGGAAGCCCCGAAGAGGCTCCAAGAGGCGCCCAAGAGATCCCCCCAACTGGCCGAACCCAGCGGGTAAAAGGGGTGCCTCCCCCCCTTCCCCTCCCTCCCCCTGGTCGCCGCGGCTGGATTCGTTTCGAAATTCTGGTTTTCGGGGGGGGTTCTTACCCCTGGTAAGCGTCATTGGCGAGGCCCGGCCACCAACCCCTTGGCCGTTGTTGGGCTCGGGGACGCCCGGCCTAACCCACAACCTCCCACAGGGGCTCCGGGGTTCAGGACCACTTCGAGAGGCTTCAGAAACCGGGATAGGGCGGCAAGACGGCTCCAAGAAGCGCCCAAGAGGCGGAGCACGGACCGAAATTCTAGCCTTCCGCCCCAAGAGGCCCCCAGGAGGCCCCAGGAGGTCCCAAGAGGCGCCCAAGAGGCCCCCAAGAGGCCTTCACGGGCCCCCGCGAGTCCCCCAATGGCCCACATGAGACCCCATAAGGCCCCAAAGCGATTCCCAGGACTTCAAAACGGCTTCCAAGAGGCCCCGGAGAGGCCAACCACGAGATCCCAACATACATACAAGAGGCCCCTAGACAGACAACCGCACGACCCTTCGCAAACTTGTTCCCTTCACATCACGGCCTCAAGCGCTTCCCCAACGCCCCGATGCCCACATCCGTGGTCGATCTTACGGCCGCGGACCACTCAACCAGTGTGCTCCGGAAGCGCTTTCCCGGAGCACGTTCCCGCAATTCCCTCGCGTTTGACTCACCGCCTCCCCCTCCGACTTCTCCTCCTCCGACTTCTCCTCCTCCTCCTCCTCCTCCTCCTCCTCCTCCTCTTCCGCCTTCTCCTGCCCAGACTTCCTCGGGCCCCCACCCGCGTCGCAAGAGCCTCCTGACGAGAGGTTCACCACCGTTCATGGCCCCCAGGAGCTCTCGAAGGGCCCTGAAGCCGTTGAAAAGAACTTTCCCGCAGCCCGCCCCCCGCGCAGGGGCGGCGACGACCTCGACGGCGACGGCGGCGGCGCCGCCGTCGTCGTCGTCGTCGCCCTTGCCGTCGTCAGCGCCGCCGCCGTCGTCGTCGTCATCGTCGCCGCTGTCGTCGTCGTCACCTGCGCCCTCGTCGCGCTCGTCGTCGCAGGCGCCAGTCGATGACCGATCAATCGAAGGCCGAGGTTCGACGAGGTCTTTCTTTCGGTTTTCGGCCCCCAGGGTCTCTTTGAGCGGACTTTAGTCGATGAGAGAGCAGCGCGAACGCCAAGGACGGTAAGCAGCGCGAGCGCTAAGGACGAGCCCTGTTATGTTTGTTCGGGTCTTCCGTCACCCTTTTTTCCCGGGCGCGTTTCGACGGAGTTTGATCCCACATTGTCCTTGGCCTCGACTAGAACCAAAGCGCGCGAAGGGCGCGCGATGGTTTTAGTGCGTATGTATGCGCGCGCCCGCGTGCATGTGTTGACGCAAAAATGTGCGGAATGTAATGTAACGTGATGGAATGGAATGTGTCGTGCGTGATGTTATGCGATGGCACGCGAATGATTGTAATGGGACGGCGTGGATTTCAACGGAATGGAAATGTAATTGAATGTAGATATGCGCGCGTGCGTGCGTGGATGCATGCATAGATGTGCGCATGCGTGCGCGTATGTGATGTAATGTAGCGTGGACCAATGTAGTGTCATGTATTGTAAAGCAATATAACGCAATGTAACGTAGTGGTATGGTACGATGTTGTATGTTATGGTACGGTTCGTCCCGGGGGCGTCCTCCACCTCGCTCACATTTGGCCCCCCGGGGAGCCCCACAATGCCCAAAGAAAATCCAAGACGCCCCCAAGAAACCCCCAGAAGGCAACGCAAATTGCCCAAAACGCTCCCCGGCGACCCAGGATAGCGTTCGGGCGGCTCTCCAGGCTCCCAGGAGGCCCCCCAGTAGACTTCAAGAGAGCTCCGAGAGGCCTCCCGAGAGCGCCCGGGGAACCCAGTACCGTGAATTGTTTATGTTTTGTTGCAGGGTTTTTGGCCTTCTCACCGCTTCATGCTTCCAATGCTCCAAAACGGCCGACGAGGCCCCCACGACCGCCCCGAGACCGCCCAAAATGCTCCCAAGACGGTCCCAAAACCGGCCAAGACGACCCCAAGATTGCCGAAGAGGCGCCCGGGACAACTCCAGACCACCTCAGAACAGACCCAATATGAGCCAGAGAGCGAACGCAGCAGGCTTCCAGAGAGCTCCGAGAGGATTCCGGGATTCCAGAGGCCTCCATCACGCCCCTGACCCTTGAGGGGTTCCAACACATCCCAACGCTCCAAGACCGAGGCATTTTGATAACAAAAGACAGGAGTTCCAGATATTCACTTTTGTTTTCAAGTTGGGGCTCAAGACTTCGGGGTCGCATGCAACAGTGTTTCGGGAGTGTTGTTGGACTTTCAGACGCTGTCTTGGCACTCTCTTGGATCGTCTTCGTGTCCTCTTGGCTGCCTCGGAAACCATTCGTAGGAATCGAGATCCCATGATCCCATGAGTTGGAACAGTGGAATTGTGGTTTTTTTTTCAAAGTCACCCCGTGCTTATGTTTGCACGAACTCCCCGAGAGGCACCCCAACATACCGTGGCCTGCATGCAGAAAGCGTCGAATCCACAGCCCAGACATTACAACTTGAAATATAGGAAAATCCTACCATTCAGTTTTTTTTCCAAGTTCGCCCCTTGTCTACTCTTGCACAGCAGGCCAGAACGAAGGCCCCAGAAGAGAAATAACAAAAAAATCCTTCGAGGGCCCCAAACCGTCGAATACCGAACGGCAGTTCAGGATTTCGGCGTTTCCGCAGTTCCCCTTCTATACGATTTCAAAGCTTGCGCAGGGCCTCCAAGAGAGTCCCTGGATGCACGAAACGACAATGATGACATTCCATGCGTTCGCCCATCACGCCTAGCTAGAACTTGAGCGCGCGCGAAACGCGCGCGATGGTTCTAGTGTGTATATATATACACACATATATATATGATTTGAATGCAGTTTATTCCGCCTCCGATGCATGTCCGAGGTTTGCGCATGTGTCCCGAGAGAGCTCCAATATGCCCCCGAGATGCGTCCCGAGTGGCGCGAATCCGTGGTAATCTCGGCGCATAATCTATTTCAGGTCGTGAGCGCCCCTTGACCGTCGGTTGGCTCCACCACGTGGCATATCGACGTCCCCCGATGTCCAGGAACGCCTCGAAGACGCAGTTTGCCCGGATGGTGGGCGCAGAGTCGCGCGACCCGCACCAGGAACCGCACGACGCCGACTCGAGGAACTGGCCAGACACCGACAGCGAGTACGGCGACTACACCGCTGTCTGCGCCTTCCGCCGCAGGAAGACCGAAGGTGCGCCCTCGCCCGGGGAGCCCTCGCCCCCCCCGTCGGGCCGCTGCCCAGCGGCCTCGGGCGGCCCGGCTCACGGGCTCGGCGTGGCCCGCGCGGCGCGGCCGGGGGGCGCGCCCGCCAAAATGCCGGGAAGTTCGAGCCGTGGTCGACAGTCACGGGTGAGCCATGCCAAAAAGATCAAGATGATTTGTAGCACGAAGGACATTCAGAGCTTCACCACATTGATGTTGCGCAACATACCGGTTACTTACAATGTGGGCGAGCTTGTGCAGGAGCTTGACAGTTCTGGCTTCGAGGGCAAATTCGATTTTTGCTACATGCCCTGCGACTTCGTCGTTGGCAACAGCAAGGGGTACGCGTTCGTGAACTTTGAGTCGTTCACCGTCGCGTCGCGCTTTCAGAACACTTGGCATGGGAGCCGGCGCTTCCCGAACCATTCTTGCAACCGCACCGTGCATGTGCTGGTGGCGCACATCCAGGGCAGGGAGGCCAACATGGCCATGGTGTCGCACACTTTCGGTTCGATCCGCAACCCAAACTTCCGCCGGCACGTGTTCAGCAAACGGGGCACCGAGCGCCCCAGCACGGGCGAGGCCACGCTGGCAGACTTGCCAACCACGGGGCCCCCAGCAGCGCGCCCGCAGCTCTGTGCCCCACCGGAGGGAGCAGGCCCGCAGGCGACGCCGCCAAGCCGGCCGCCAGGCATGTTCCACTCAGCGTACGCAGGTGCGCCGCCACCAGTCCAGCAGCCGACGCTCGCGATGACGCTGTCGAGCCGGCCGCCAGGCATGCTCTACTCATCATGCGCGGGTGCGCAGCCACCGGCCCAGCAGCCGACGACCGCGAAGACGCCGTCGAGCCAGCCGCCTGGCATGCCTTACCCAGCATTCGCGGGCGAGCAGCCGCCGGCGCCAGTCCAGCAGTCGACGCCCGCGCTCTGGCCAGCCGTGCGCGGAGTCTGCTGCCAGCGCTGCGGGGCGGCCGACGCTTCTGGGGCTTCGCGCGGCGCAGCCAGCAGCAGCTCCTGGCCGCGGAGAGCCTGGTCACGCGGCCGGCGGGCGCCGCGGGCGTGGGCGCCTGCGGGGCTGGCCGCGGCCTTCTGGGGCCGCGTCGCGGCCAGGTGATGAGGGCGCGCGTTGGCAGGGCACCTGCGGGGCCGCTCTCCCAGGGGGCTCCCATATCCCAGGGGTTGCGGGCGGCGCACCCGCAGCCTCTGCGCATGCAGCGGGCGTTTTTCTTTGGGAGGAGACCTGGCCGATTGGACGGTTAGTGCGGGGAGGGGGGGCAGAACTGAGAGCCACTGTGGCATGAGGCAGGGACAGGGACGGGACGCATCTGTAGAGCGACTGTTGCTCACACGTGCAGTGTGTCGGCGATGCTCTTTTCCGCTCTTGCTCATCCCATGGGCTGCGGGGAGAAGAGTGGCCGTTCGGCCCTCGTCGGCATCCCTCGTTATCTGCGCGGCTTGCACAAATATATCTTTTTCCGAGCACAAATATATCTTATTCCGAAAACTGTTTGGCTGCCTGCGGCAACTGTGGCGAGCAAACGCCCAATGCGGCTTGACTCCTGCGACACATTGTCAATCCTGCTCAACATTTTTTAACGAGATTGCTTAAAGCTTCTGCGAGACCTCCTGGCTGAGGCACGTCGCCCGCGGCGCCGTCGTGGACCCGGCGGCCGCCAGGGCACGGGCGATTTGACGGGAGCACCCGCGTGCGTGCGGGCGGTGCCTTGTCGATAAGATCTAGGTTTTCTTGACATGCCGCGCACGGTCAGGTCCCTCGTGGGAGATCTTCGTGCGGGGGCAGGACTGCGCCGTGCCTTCCGAGTGCTGTCTTGCACCCGAGGCGTGGCGCCCAGAAGATGTGCAGAAGAGGACGGAAAAGGCAGGGGCACGAGCGCTTCTCATCGACTTCGGCCTTCATAAAGGCGAGGTGTTGAGCCTGCGGGTGTTCGTCGTGCGCCCCGAAGCGCGGAGGATAATGGGTGAGCCAAGCGCCGATCCAGTTTGGCAGCACTCAGTACTTTTTCACTGCCATACTGGATGTAGACGTGATCAGATTTGCGGCACGTGCGCACGTGCGTTTAACCTGAGACGACATGCAGTCCAGCTTCGTATAGCAAAGGCCCTCTTTGCATTCGGTTGAGATGCCTCCGATGATATGCTGTGGTGTGTCTCTCTTGCACGTGTCTTTCTCTCTAGTGCGTCATTGCGAAGCCTGGAAGGTATCTTCCCCACAAATATTGTCCCACCGAATTCGTGTGTCCCCACAGCTCACCTTTAGCAGAGAAGGTTCGGTGGCTTTGCCAGACGTTGGTGCGTCTCAGTTCTTGTGCTTCCCGTCCACGAGGTTCCCCACTCATCAATATCATGGCGACGAGAGCATGTGATCCCACTGGTAAGTCACAGCTTGCGTTTCGCAGGCCGTGCTTGATTACGTGATTTTCTTCGGCACATTCGATTAGGATGGGGTCATGTGCCGACCTGGTCCGTACATACGTATACAGTGCAACGATGCCGGCAGCAGCGGAGCGTTCGCCACTCGCTGAATCATCGAACACAGCGTGAGCGATGATACATAGAGGGAAAGGTGATTTGCGGCGAGCTCCCCTTCGCCCAGTCCCGCTGTTCCCCCCGTCCCCCCCCTCACCGCGTCTCGCCCCTGCTCCTCTTCCATGCCACTCTCTGCTTCTCGTGAAGCCAGTCAGGCACACTGTCCGGCTGGATGGCTGGCCTCCGTTAGCGTCACGAGCAATTCTTTTTGTTGGCCCAGAGCCTCGTTCTCGGAACCCCTCATCGTTACCGGGAGCCGCGGGAGCCCCCCCGCCCTCCCCAGACCAGATGAGCCTCCTCGCTCCTGCCCCGCTCCGGCGCTCCTGCCGCCATCGTGGCCGAAGGGTGGGAGCATCGCACGGTGAGAGCATGCAGCGCGGCACTGAGGCAAGACCTCCTGTTTGTCCCCCCCCCTCTCTCTCCCTCCCCTGGTGCTCTCGCTCGTCTTCTCCCTCCTCGACTCGACATTGCGGCCAGGTTAGTCCTAGCCACCAAAACTAACAAACCGCACTACTCCTGCTCCTCAGCAGCAGCGGCGGCAGCAGCAAACGCGGCAGCCAAAGCCGCCGCGCGGGGCCTGCCGTCAGGAAGGCGCACGGGTGGAGGACGCACCACCGCAGGGCCAGACGGCGCGGGCCTGAAGACGGGTGCACCGCCACCCGCGCGGACGAGCCTGGCAGTCTGCCACGGCTCGCACAAGGGATGCCATTGGTGATTTACCTAGTGCCTTCCCCGAGCCAGCCCCTTCAGCACACGCCCACCCCACGACGAAGCTAAAGCGGGCCCAGGGCAGGCGACGGACAGGGCTAGCACAGTGCCTGGTCCGCTCGCACCGTACACAGCACATGCCACGCACCACTGGTTGGTGGTGGCCAACTTAAACGGATGGACAACGTGCTGCCGACCTCCCGCAAGAGCCACCCTCGCGTGCCCCAGGTCGGCAGAGAGCAGACTTGGAGGGGTGGCGAGGGAGGGAGGAGGCAAATGGAAGAGGCAGGACGACCAGCGACGTGTGGCGCGGGTTTCGCCACACGTCGCTGGAAGACATGAAGAGAATCAACCGCCACCATGTATGGTCCAACTTCGGCCACCCATGTGGCGAGCCCTCTGAGGACCTGGGCACGGGCTTCCACCTGGGCTCGAGACGACCTAGGAAGGCGAGATAACTCCGAGGCCTGCTTAGCATAATCGTCAGCAAGATCATCGCCTGCTTTGTAAAGAGGTGAAATTCGGCCACACTCAACGGTCGCACGTGTGGCATGTCCTTTGACCTTGACCAAGGAGGAACCCCCGCACCTCCCCAGTCCGCGATCTTTTGCCACACCATGCGCCAGAGCCCGGCCCAGGCACTCTTCGCACAGCAAGTTTTCTCTGGCCCGCGCTCGATCACACCGTCGACATCGAAGCCAGAATCACTGTAAAAAGGTAGTGCCTGGCAGCGAGAAACAGAGACCCCGCAGCAGGGCCCAAAGCTCGAGGGCGCCGGCATCTGCAGCAGGGCGCAAGAAAGAACCAGCAAATATGGCTTCGACACGATACGAGTCCTGAGAGACTTGGACACAAGACCAGCCGAGACCCTGCTGGGCCAGCGACCATAAACCGTCTCGCAAACTTCGTCCAGAAAAACATGGCCCTGCAGAGAGCCACCCCCGAGGAGCCAGAGCCCTTGAGGCCGAGGAGCGGGGTCCAGAACGGGCATGGGCACGAGTAGCCGCTCAGCAAGCAGGCGAGGCAGCTCATCAACACAAGCTCGCGCAAGCCTGCCTGCTAACGAAGGTGGCGAGGCTCCGCGCGTTCCTGATATTGACACGACAGGTGGCGGTGCCACAACGTGCCTGGGGCCTCGTTTCACGGTAACCAGACCGATTGAGCTGACAGGTTAGCGTCAAACTGGCGGTGCTGAGGCCATTGGCCGCCTGGGACTACACTGCGAAGATACGCTGCACCCTGCGGGCTGACCTTCTTGCTGCGGGCAACCTTCAGAATGGGATACAGCATGGCTCATCGGCAAACTCGGGACACTCCAAGTGGTCAGCCACTCTTTCCCAAATCCACTCCTCCACCAACCGATCCAAGATCGACCCCAGAGTGCGCGGGGGGAGGTCAAGGGGAGAGAAGCCCCCAATCGACGGGTGGTGCCACTGGAGGCCCTGCATACTTTTACCTAACCTCTGGGCTGAGGCTACGCAAGCACTGAATGGGCCTCGGATGCTCTGCCGCGGGGAAGTGCGTTGCGAAAGCCTTCCCCCGGCCTCCTCAACACCGCTGCGGAGGATGGAGAGGGGCACCCAGGAGTCCCAGGCCGCAGTAGCCAGGGCCATCAAGGGGCCCTTGCACAACTTAAAAGCGGGGTCAACCGTGCCAACATCCGAGAGCTGTAGCACGAGAGAAATCGAGCGCCCGTCAACGCGCGCAGCCTCTATGTGCGCCTGCAGGTGCCGAGCCCCGCGCAACTCTGTGATGCTTGTGCCAAGACGGCAGATTGGACCATGTGATGCAGTTGGTTACGCTTCAACGGGCGACCAAATGTGAGCAGCTTGCTTTGCCGTACACATGCTGGCGGCATCCTTTTCGCGCCGGACTTGCCGCGCCGCTAGCCGACCACCAGAAGTCTATGCCTAGGTTACGTTCGGTGGACAATCCTTGGATTGAGCAGCGCTTCAGACGCGCCTGGGCCTTGGGGCGCACCTCGACCGACGAAGCAACGAGCTTGCTCTTAGATCGCTGCATGCGCAGATCTACCTTCTTGCCCAGTGCGCACTAGCTCCGCAGCTCCTGATGCATTCTCAATTACGTGCCCCCCCCGACCACGCAAATGCAACCCAGCGTCATCATGCACCACTCCTTTCTCAACAGTCGGGAAGGCACGACTGAAGACATCAAGCGGCTGCAGCAAGACTAGTTGCAACATTCGTGTGGCGAAATGACACCCTGGAATGACAGCCTGCAACGTGTGTATGCACTGTGAACCCAGAAGCTCAGCCATCTAGATCCAAGATGCGCGGGGTACGATACAACTGTATGAGCAGCTCCAACTGACGCAAGGGAAAGCTGGTGGCAATCGCAGCTGCCAGGAATCTAGCATGCGAAATCTGCTCAAAAGCTGCCTCCAAATCCAGGAGAACCAAACGGCTGGCGAAGCCGCGGCCCTGGGCCCATTCAGTCTTGGCAGGCTGGATCCAAACGAGTTTATCTGAGCCTCGACCAGCTGTGGCCCGCCAGAAGTCTCGGGCATTAGCAGTCTGCCACGCGCGCACAAGAGGTCTGCGGAGTCGGCCTTGCACGCGCGCAATGGAGTGCAGCAGGCCGATCGGCCTCAGTCCCCCTGTGCGCTTGAGACGGAAGACTTATCTTGCTATGCATATCTGACCATGCGCATTGGGCCTCGATGGCCGGAGCGAGCTGAATGAGACCTTGAATGGCCTCGTCAGGAATATGATCGAACTGACGAGGCGAAACGCCGTGAAACCGCAACCCGAGCGAGCATGAACATAACGAAGCACATCACCCATCTCCCTGGCTGTGGGCTCGGGGAACGAAGGCCCCAGGTCCGTCGGCCGCTCGAGTGGCTCGCGAGGCTGGTTGACCTTCCACCAGCGACACCGCCCGGCGGCAAGCTCATCCATCTCCTGCTGAGGGGGCGCGGGCGCGGGAAGCAGAGCACCGCCCTCGTCGAAACGCTCCGCGGAGTGCCGCGGGGCGCGGGGGCGGGTAGCAGCAAAGAGAGCAGCAACCCCGTCAACCGAATGGTCCCAAAGCGGCTGGCGCCAGCCAGCACTCTTGGTATTGGCCGCCGTTTTGTGCTCTCGAACAGCTCTGGCTCAGGCCCCTGTTTCAAAAACGTGGGCCAGCTCATGCGATGAAACACGGGCACTGCCCAAAGCACGGAGCCACGGCTGAACGTCGCAGAGGGCCGAGGCGAGGCGCGCCTCCGCTTCTTGCAACAGCCTGGCGCAGGTGTTGAGTGCACGCTGGCGCATCTGAGGCGAGTGCCAGGAGCTCAGACAGTGAAAAGCGCACGCTGCGCGCCTCCACCGGACGGCGAGGGCACTCAGTCGAGGGAAGGGTCGCCGATGCGGAGCTCGAGGCCGAACTTGATGCAGCCGAAGGGCCCGACCACGTCCAGAACACGCATCAGCTTGACGAGGGTCGATCTGGTAGATGTCGAGGAACTGCTGCTCGGCCAGATTGGCGAAGGCAACCCGCATATCATGCACCGAAACATCGGATCCCGGTGCTGATTATTGAAACTGTTGTTGGGCGCCGCGTAATGGGGGGGTCATAAATGGGGGGGGGGGGGGGGGGGGGGGGGGGGTCGCGGGCGGTCCGAAAAAGGTACCCGAACGGTGCCTGAACGAGCCCCCTGGGGCGCTGGAGGGGCCCGAAAGGGGCATGAGCGGGGGCTTTTTTTGGCCCCCCCATTTGTGGCCCCCCCATTAAGCCACGCCCAATGTTGCCAAAGTTGCTGCCAATCTTGCGCATCGCATCCCAGTGGCCGAATCTGAGGGAAAGACGAGGCACCAATACGCGGTTCACGGGCACCGCCTGGACCGCGGCCGTGAGCTGCAGCAGAACTGGCTTATGCGGCTCCGTAGCTACCGTCGGCAGCACGCGCGCTGAGCGCCCATGCTGTAGCGAATGATGGACCACGAAATAATCGAGACATTTGCCTCCGCCTGCATGCGAGCATGTGGGAATAGAAGGGGCCAGGACAACCGCATCCAGACTGCCAACCCACTTAGAACCTCGCAATATCTCTGGCGTGACGTTCCAATCACCTTGAATGACAAAGGGCATGTTGCACTCTTTCAGAAGGTTGTGCACTCTGCAAAGGATGGACCAGTTCGCCGCTGTCAATCCAATGTTGCGATGCAGATATACGCCAATCCACATAAAGCCGCCAGCACACAAGCCGCCGCAGTGAAGTGCCACGACTCGGCCTGGTCCAACGTCGGCTGGAACAATTTCCAGCTCGCTGAGACCATGGGCCGCCGTCATGATGGCAACCCCTCCTGAAGTGCCCGTATCTGATTTGGGCGCAGCTGGACCAGCGCGCGCGTGCCACCCTGCACGCCGAAAACGAAGTTCCAGCGTTGTGCCGTCTGACTGATGGTGTTCTTGTACGCATACTGCACTGGCCTGACGAACGTCGGGATCTGCAAGGGGCTCATCCAAACCCGCCAGCCCCGTGACATTGGCTGTGACGATGGTGAAGCTAGGACGACGACCCACCGTCGCCCCCTGCGGCAGGGGACTTGGAACGGGCCTTCTTCGCGAGCCGCTCCTTGGCCTCATTGAAGAGGCTGGTTGCGAGCTCGTGTTTGATGCCACGCTTGCTCTCCATCTCAGCGATGAACGAGTTGTCGCCGAGCAGGGAACCGAGCTCCATGTCCAGTGGCGCGGCTTGCTCGAGCCCACTAGCGGCCGCGGCACCTCCGCACGCAGCGGCACCGTCGTCTGCACCGTTGGCCGCGGCACCTCGCACAGGAGGAAACTGAGCGGCTTCAGCAGCGGGTGCAGCAGGAGGAGGAGGGCCGTAGCCCAGATTTTTGGCCATGTCCTCCAGCTGCTGGATGAGCTTGCCGTGTTTCTCCTTGTCGGGGCCCTCCTCGGCTGGGGGCCCTGAGCAGCGGATGCCCTTGACCCAGGCGTGGAAGGCGGCCTCGCCCTCGGACGGCTGGGCTGGCGCGAGGCTGCTGAAGGCTTGGGCGGCCTTGGAGCCCGTTTCTTTATTGCTTGGGGTGGGCGTCATGGCCCCCGTTCCCTCCCCCCCCCCTATGACGTAACGCTCCCCCCCCCAGTGCGCTCCGGGCACTGCCGCCGCGCGCATTGGGTTCGCGTAGGCGTCCGACTGGAAATCCGCATAGGTGTCTGGTCCGCAGGTGTCGTCGTCGTCTTCGTCGTCGCCGTCGTCGTCGTCGCTCGTGGTTCGTCGCTCGTCGCTAATCGTCGCCGTGCGCGCGGACGCGGCTGGAGCCTGTTTTGAAGTCCGGGCCGATGACGGCAATCATCTGGGGGGGGGGGCGATGACGTCACGTTTCGCGCCGGCGGCGTTTGGGAATGCCTCGGGATGACGGGGGACGGGTAGTACGAACATGTAGGTGGCGATATGCACCACAACGCCTGTGTACATCACAGTGCCCGCGTGCACCACAACGCCTGTGTACACCACGCCGCCGGTGTACACCACAGCAGCCGCGTGCAACACAGCGCCATGTTGTGCCACCGTGCCTGCGGGCACAGCAGCTCCTGTGTACACCACAATGCCTGCGTGCATTGCAGTGCCTGTGTACGCCACGGCGCCTGCGTGCACCACATCAGCCGTGTGCAACACAGTACCATTGTTGTTTATAGAATTTCAGAAGGAATCTTTGTGACAGAATGGAGCGCGTGTGGATTCCAGAGAAACAGAAGGAAAACAAATCCTTATGGACAAAGAGCGCTGCTGGAATCTACGCGTCCCCCCGAGTCCGCCCGCATCACCCTAACTCCCATTTGCGTCCAGGAGGCTTCAGCTAAACTGGCCGTCCGAGAACCTACTGGACCGATTCAGTCGACCATTTTGCGGTGCACGCTGAGATGCGCACGCGCGCTGTAACGCCAAGCCGTACGACAGGGGGTAAGGAGGAGGAGGAGGAGGAGGAGGAGGAGGAGGAGGAGGAGGAGGAATTGGAGGAGGGAGGAGGGAAAAACGCCGCATTCGATTATCAGAACTTTCCTGGCGTGGCGTTTATTTGTTCTCAGCAGATGCTGACGTACATGCTCTTTCTACCTGTCCAATGCACGCAAGCACGGTGGTGTACACCAGCACTGCGTTGCACGCGGGTGCTGTGGTGTAGACAGGCGCTGTGGCGTGCACAGGCGCTGCGGTGCACGCAAGCACTGTGGTGTACCCAGGCGTTGTGTTGCACATGGCTGCTGCGGTGTATGTACACCGACGCTGTAGTGCTCCCAAGTATTGTGGTATACGCGGGCGGTGCGTTGCACACGGCTGTTGTGGTGTACGCAGACGTTGTCGTGCACGCGCGTGGCGTGGTGCACGCGAGCGTTGTGGTGTGCACAGGCGCAATGGGCAGATCGCCACCTACATGCTGGTCGCGTCGTCGTCGTCGCTCGTCGTTCGTCGCGTCGTGCGCGCGGGGGCGGTTGTGGTGCCAAAGCCACGCGGCGGGGGGGGCGTCACGTCATCCCCCCCCCCCCCCCCCGCCCTCCCCCCCCCCCATGACGCCCGTCATCGCCGAACATAAAGAAACGCGCCCTTGGCGGTCGCAGCGTCGGCAGCAACCTGGGCAGACGCCGTCTCAGCCTTGGCCTGGGCAGCGGCCTGCATGGACTGAACGAGCGAGTTCTGCGCCCGTTCGAACTTGGACTTGGCTTTCTCGAGCTTCTGCTGGAAAGCATCCTGCTGAATGCGCGCCTGCTTGGCGCATTCGCGAGGCTCGCCCTGCAACATGGCGCGCGCTGCGCGCACGCGCCCCGCCACCCGCGGATGCCAGCCGTCGGAAATGGCGTCAAAGTCGCGCAGCGCCATGGCAGCGAAAACCTCTACCTGGACATCGGTGGGATGGGCAGGCCCGCAGTAGCGCTGCTCATTGATCTTGGGCGGTCGTTGCAAAGAACCTCTGGGCGGTGGGGGCTCGGCGACGAGTGGTTTCTTCGGCTCTTGGCCGCACAAGCGGCACGACGTGCGCCACGCATAGTTGAACTTGTATCCACATTGCTTGGTGCGGAGACAAGCCCAATAGTGCATCTGGTCCACTGGCCCAATAAGAGGTAAGCAAAACGATGTAGGTATTGCAGGCGAAAGAGCGTTGCAGTACCTGACTTCGGAGCGCGAGCGGGGGCCGCAACAATCCCCCACGCCAAAATGTCAAGGTCCCTGAGCCACAGCTACGGACCTTGAGCCAAAATGGTTACGGAGTGTCTTCTCCCTCCTCCTCCCCCTGCTCCTCCTCCTCCTCCTCCTCCTCCCCCTCCTCCTCCCTCGTCCTCCTCCTCCCCCTTCTTCTCCTCCTCCTCCTCCTCTCGTACTTCCTCTTCCCTTCTACTCGCTCCTTTTTTTCATCATGCGGCTGCTGCTCTGGCTGCTGCTCCTACGGCATGCACGTCCTGGTCCTCGCCGTCGTCCTTCTCGGTTGGTCTCTTTCTGATTCTGACCGTGTCCGCCAGGACCTTACACTTTCATCATGCGTGCCTCGAAGCAGGTGCCCCACGCAGGAAGGGGAAGCAGGAGGAGAAGAAATACGCATGGGATGGAGCAGAGGGGCGGGAGTGGTGCAGGAGAAGGAGTGCGACGGACAATCGTATCTGATTGAACGGTATGGCTATTGTTGCTTGTTGTATGTTATGTGCCATTCCCTGACGTTTGGTGCTCTTCAGGGCGCAACCTAAATATTGGTGTCCTACTTGTTCCCATTTGGTTCCGTTTTACTTTTGCTTTATGGTGTGAACGCGTTTCAAACCACGTTTTCGCATGATCTGAACCTCTGCCGTCGCGCCAATGCGTTTTGGTCACTGGGTATTCTTTTTGTTGGTCGTATTGTTCTGGCACAGGCAGGTGCCGCACGTGTTGTTGGGCGCTCTGTTTTCACGCGGGCAGGCGCCGCTTGTTTTGTTGGCGTTTTGTTTTGCTGCCAGCACAAACGCCTAGTACACCCCCCTAGCACAACTCCCCAGCACAAACCCCCAGCACAACCCCAAGCGCAATCCCCAGCACAGCCACCCAGCACAAACCCCCAGCACAACCTGGCAGCACAACCCCCCAGCACAACACCCCAGCACATCCCCCCAGCACAACACCCCCGCATAACCCCCCAGCACAACCTCCAGCACAACCTCCAGCACAACCTCTCAGCACAATCCCCCAGCGCAATCACCAGCACAACCCCTCAGCACATCCCCCTCAGCACATCCCCCTCAGCACACACCCCAGCACAATCCTCCAGCACATACCCCTCCCCCGCATAATCCCCCAGCACAACCTCCAGCACAACCCCCAGCACAACCCCTTAGCACAAACTCCATCACAACCCCCCAGCATAACTCCCTGGCACAACTCCCCAGCACAACCCCTCAGCACAACCCATCAGCACAACCTCCCAGCACAATCCCCCAGCACAACCCCTTAGCACAATCCCTCAGCACAACCCCCCAGCAAAACTCCCCAGCATAATCCCCCACCACAATCCCCCAGCACAACACCCAACAGAACTCCTTGGCACAACCCCCAGCACAACCCCCTCAGCACACTCTCCCAACACAACTCCCCAGCACAACACCCCAGCATAATCACCCGGACCCAGCACAACCGCCCAGCACAACCCCTTGGCACAACCCCCAGCACAACCCCTTGGCACAAGTCCCAGCACAACCCACAGCACAACCCCTCAGCACAATCCCTCAGCACACACCCCCCAGCACAACCCACAAGCACAACCCCCAAGCAGCCTTCCCCCAGCACAACCCCCTAGTACAACGCCCCAGCACAACCCCCCAGCACAACCCGTCAGCACAACCCCTCACACAACCACCAGCATAACCCCCTGGCACAACCCCCTGGCACATCTTCCCAGCACAGCTCCCTGGCACAACTCCCCAGCACAACCCCCCACCACAAACCCCTGGGGGGTTTGTGGTGGGGGTTTGTGCTGGGAGGGGTTGTGCTCGGGGTGTGTGCTGGGGGACTGTGTTGCGGGGTTGTGCCAGGGGGTCGTGCTGGGGGGCTGTGCTGGGGGTTGTGCTGAGGTGTTGTGCTGGGGGGTTGTGCTGGGGGATTGT